GAAGAAGTCTCTTGGAGGAGAGACGAAACGTTTCATTAAAGAAGAACCCGTCCAGAAGACCTATACAATGTTTTTTCTTATTGGCAACAATACCAATTGTTTGTCTTTAAATAACCAGGCTCTTAGTTTTTTCCACATCTATCTAGTGACTTCTACTCAGAAGCTGACTCCAATCTGCTTTTAATTAATTTATTACATTTGTCTGAACACAGCAAGCATTTTCAACAAAACAGTGACCTAAATCCTGGTTTTAATGATCAGAATTGACTAAATAGTTTTTTTTCTCCCCCAATTAAAACCTAGAAAATTGTAAAATTTCTTTCAATAAGGGAAACCTGCAAAAACACTTTTAAAGTTCAGGATCTAGATTAATTTACGCATCCATTTACAGCAATAAATCTGACTACTTTATTTGTTTAATTAAATAATAAATGCTTAGTTTATTGTTGAACAGATAAAGGAAAAATATTTTTGGCCCTCAAGTCCTTCTGACTTTATAATTTTGGCCCACGTGACAAAATGTTTGGACACCCCTGCTCTAGAATATTTGAGGCAAGATGAAAGATGTTGTTGAAACTGCAGCTCTTTCAACCGTAGATATATTTATCACCATTCTGTAAAATTGATGTCAGTTTTGCACTTCAGCAGAGTCATTTCTTATTTTTATTTTATTTTTTTCTCAATATAGCTTTGATTATTTCAGTGCAGCCGATAAAGGGTTAGTTTTTTTCTCTCTCACATCGGTCGTACATTTAATAAAACCAATGCTAATAAAGCTAAATTCAGCTTTCTGTGTTAGAGCACCTTTTAAAAGAAGCTCGTACAATACAAACATGTTCCCATCTGAATAAATAGGAGTACTTAAAGAACAGGCTGTTTCATTCAATGTCTGTGRGAAATGTGAAGACTGTATCCATGCAAATTAACTTAAATAGACAGCCGACGTGAACTCACTGGCATATGAAGTAAGCACGGCAACTTATTGGTGAGTTTTAGGGGGAAATGCACTCCCACCTCGCCTCCTCCATCCTCTTCTCCTGCTCCACCATTTTTGGTCACCTCCTCCTGCATCATCAGCTGCTCTGGAGGGACCAGGTCATGCGTAACCAACGAACTTCCAGTCAGGTCCTCGTCGTCGTCTTCGTCTTCGTCGTCGTCATCATCGGCCAGGAGGGGGTGGTTCGCCAGCGATCGTTCCCCAAGGGTCATCACCACGAGTCRGCCTCCGGCGCCCAGGCTAACTCTCCCTCCTCCATCAATCCCCCCACTGCTGCACTTCAGCAACATGCCCTCCAACTTATCCTCAGCATTCATCCTTACATTGAGCACTTCTCACGTCTGCTAAACCAAGGAAACAAAGAGAAAAATAGTTAATGTTATTATGTTACTTTTTTGTTTACCATTATTCATTTCATAAAAAAAATTATGTACAATAAAAATTTATTTTCATAAAATTGTAATAATTTACTGCTAAAGCAACAACAGTGTTATAAGTTGTAACACTAAATAATAAGGAATAATCTGATTTAATTGTTTTTTTAATCTAATTTACATTGACTGAATATGGAAGAATATTGTTTATTCATTTGACAAAGAGGGAAAATAACCAAAGTCAAATAATTTGGGATCAGAAGAAGGTAGACATTCAGCCCTGATATTCCAATTAGGGCTGCCACGATTAATCGATTAATCGACGACTAATC